TTATTGCTGTTGTTTATGATAGTAAAGGTTATCATAGCCGACGGTTGCTTTGGAATACTATTAGCCCTTTGATTAGCTTGGATCTCCCGGTGATTGTGGGGGGAGATTTTAATTGTTGTTTGAATCAAAGTGAGAAGAAGGGTGGAAGGAGATATAATTTCTCGGTGGGGGCTCAAGAGATGTCCGAGTTCATGGTGGATAATGATTTACATGATTTGGGGTTCTTGGGTCCCAAATATACCTGGCCGAATAATAAGTCTGGGCATAGTAAGATTTGGGTGAGGCTTGATAGAATTCTGATGAATTCTGAAGGATTAAGACGAGCACCTTTAGCCATGGTTAAACATCTGGTTCAGTTGACCTCTGACCACTGCCCGTTGCTATTGAAATTGTTTGCTGAAATCCCGAGACCTGGAAACAGATGGATACGGTTTGAAGACATTTGGATGACTTACCCTGTCACTTGGAGGTTGGTTTGGAAGAACTGGACCAAGGAGGATTATGGAATTCCTGATGAGATGGTGAATCGCAAGTGTAGCAGAACTCTGAAGGCGTTGATCTTTTGGAGTCATAATCATTTTAAGGAGCTCAGTGAGCTGATAATATCCCTAGAAAGCCGTATTGAAGAACTTCAATTGGTGGACTGTTCTCCTGATGGTTTGAATGAGGAACAGGAACAAGAGCTGAGAATGAAGGCTGTTGAATTGAACACTACTTTAGCTCGGCTTGCTACCTGGTGGAAGCAAAGAGCAAAGGCCAGGTGGATTGATGAAGGAGATACGAACTCGCATTTCTTCCACTCTTTTGCGTCTGCACGTAGGTGAGGGAATCGTATTATTGAAGTCATGACGCCTAATGGAGGAGGATTGTTGATCTGAATTTGGTCCAAGAGGAATTCTGGAATTTTTTCATGTTGAAGTGGAAAGATAGGAAGGTTTCTTTGGCTAATTGGCCTGAATTCTATAATGAGGACATTATCCCTGTGCAATTCAGTGAAATTCTGGAGGCTAAAATTTCAGAGACTTTGATCCGGCAAGCTATTTTTAGCATGGGCAATAACAGAGCTCCGGGGATTGATGGCATAACCTCCTCATTTTTGAAATTCTATTGGGAGATTATTAAGAAAGATGTTAATAGTGCTATTATGCATTTTTTTGCTACTAACTTGATGTGCCAAAGCTGGAAGGAAACCTTGGTGGTGTTGATTCCTAAAATGGAGATAGCAAATATTCCATCCAAGTTTAGGCCTATATGTTTATGTCAATCCTTTTATAAGATTGTTGCCAAGGTGCTGATTAACCGCATGAAACCGGTGTTGAGTACTATTATCAGTGAGGAGCAGGGGGCATTTGTACCGGGACGATCAATATCTAATCATGGACTCATGGCATAGGAGATGATGAATATGTTTAAGCATTCTACTCAGAAGTCTGGGCTAATGGCTTTGAAGATTGATATGGAGCAGGCATACGATTGTATGTCTTGGGAGACGCTGCAGAAAGTTATGACCTTAATGGGGTTCAGGGAGGGGTTTATCACTTGGATTATGCAGTGTATTATTGAGTCAAAGTTTACTTTGTTGATGAATGGCAACAAGACACGTAGGATTGATGCTAGAAGTGGACTGCGACAAAGATGTCCACTGTCGCCTTATTTGTTTATTCTTTGTTCTGAGCTTCTTTCCAAATCTTTTAAGCAGCGTGGAGCACAGCTTGGAATCCAAATGAGTAGGAATACAGTAAGCATTTCTCACTTACTGTATAATGATGATATTCTTGTGTTTGCAGAAGCTAGCAGGTGCAATGCCCGTCGAATTATGGAGTTGTTGGGGGATTACTGCTGCTGGATGAGTCAGAAGATTAATTGTGGAAAGTTTGCTATTCCGTTTAACAAAAAATGCCCAAGCTGGAGGAAGAGGATGATTGCAAAAGTTATGGTGTATAAAAAGGTTGACTCTTTGGAATATCTTGGTCTCCCTCTTGTTATGAAGAGGATGACTGTGGCTGATTTCTCCAAAGTAATGAAAATTGCTTTTGAGAAGATCAATCTTTGGGGTAGAAAACATCTTTCATTTGCTGGCAGGGCTCTCTTGATCAAAACTTCTCTGTTATCTGTTCCAATGTATGTTATGACTCATACTTTTGTTCCTAATGCTATTTTGATGGCCATTGAACGTATGGGGAGGCGGTTTTTATGGCAGAAAGATGCTAACAGTCGTGGAATGCATTATGTGGGATGGAAGGATCCGTGTCAGCCGACAGATCTTGGGGGCCTTGGCTTTCACTGTCTTACCTGTTGGAAGGGGGCTCTTCGTGCACGGGTGGTGTGGGACCTGCTCCAGAATGAGGATTCTTTAATTTACAAGTTGTTGATGGCTAAGTATGGCATGAACTTATGGGACGTTATGCAGGGTAGTAACATATCTATCACTTGGAAGGTGATCCAAGATGGTGCTAAGGCGTTGCGACTGTTCCTCAGGTGGAATATTGTGAATGGTAATCAAATTGATGTATTGTATGATGTGTGGATTTTGAATCGTAATATTGCTAAATGGCCTACGTTTGTCAATATTGAAGAGGTGGAAAACATGAAGGTATGCAATTTGTTGACTAATTCTCTCCAGTGGAATGAAGAGATGGTTAAAAAATGTTTTGGAGAGGTAATGGATGATCGTATTCTGGCCATTAATATATCCACTATGAGCTTGGAGGATAAACCCGAGCTTATTCATTCCAGGCTGAGCATGACTGTTGCGGCTATGGCTTATAAGGCTTGTGATGAGAAGGGAAATTATGAATTCAGTTGGTTGAAACAGTTGAAACTTCACCCCCGTGGACATTTCTTTTGGTGGAGATTGTTGAGGGATGCCATTCCAACCACCCATTGGTTGCATAGAAGAACTTTAGCCGATACGTCCTGTTGCCTGTGGGGCTGTAATGAGCAAGAGAATTTAGATCACTGTTCGTCTCGGTGTACTAAATTGAAGCAGGTGTTTGAAATTTTTCGTAAATGGGGGATTATTTTGCCTGCTGTAAACTCTCTTGGGGATTTAAAGATTGAACTGATGAAGTATGCTGATAAGAATCCTTGCATGGGAAGAATTTACTGCTATACTGTTTATCAGGTTTGGAAAGCTCGGAATGATATGAAGCATCATAAAATGTGTAGATCTCATTCTGTGATTGCTGCTGCGGTGCTCTCATTATTTCCAAAACCGTTTAAATGCACAATGCTGGAGCAATGGGGTACTAATCAACCCATTCGGTTGCCGTCTCATAAACTTTGGTGCCCTCCCCCTCCAGGTTGGATTAAATTTAACTTTGATGCAGCGTTGCTTCCTTCTAATCAAGTTGGCCTGGGTATGATAGCTCAGTATCATGATGGAAAGTTGATTGTTGCTACTGGGAGAAATATCGAGCACTGGGATAGCTTACTGTCAGAAATGTTGGCAGCAATGGCAATCCGTGAGGTTATTCAGGACTGGATGTATGAGCTGGACGGAATCATCATAGAAGGGGATTGTATTAATGCAATCCAATGGCTATAGAGACTGAATGACCATCAAAATGTGATCCATCGTCGAGTGGAGGGACCGGATACAGCATTCTTCTTGGAGTTAAACAGGTGCTCTTCAATATACACCTCAGAATAGCAATCGTGTGGGTGACCTTTGTGCCCACCTTGCTCTAGTTAATAATTTTACTTTCTTTGATGTGAATAATAGTGAATTCCCCTCAACATTGTTAGCTTTGTTGAGGGAGGAGAGTGATAGGGTATAGTTGCTTTTGATAGTTACTTGTAATAGTTTTCTTTCATTTTAATGCAAAATGCAGGTATTCAGCTATTGCTTCTCTCTCTCTCTATTCCTCTTTTGCTTCTCTATCTCTCTCTCTCTTGCTCTCTCTTTCCATTCCTCTCTCTCTCCCTCTCTCTCTCTCTCACTCTCTCTCTCTCCCTCCCCATCTCTCTCTATCTATCTCCATCCCTCCCTCCCTCTCTTTCCATATTCCTCTCTCTCTCTCTCGCTCTCTCTTTCTCTCTATCTATCCATTCCTCTATTTTTCTCTCTCTCACTCTCTCTCCATCTCTCTCTCTCTCTCACCACTTTCTTTCTCTTGAGCTCTTTCTTTCCATTCCTTTATTACCTCTCTCTCGCTCTATCTCTCCATTCCTCTATTTTTTCTCTCTCTCTCACTCTCTCTCCATTTCTCTCTCTCTCTCTCTCTCTTTCTCTCTCTCTCTCTCTCTCTCTCTCTCTCTCTCTTGGGGGTGGTGGTGACGGAACGAATGGCGGTGAAGAGCGACGATGATCGGGAGTGGGATCTGGTGGTTCTAAGAAGCAAGGCGATCGATCGGGAGCTGGATCTCCCAGCAAACCCATGATGGCTAAGACGAGAGGGAAAGCTCGGGAAGCTGCAAAATCTGGATCGGAGGGATCAGTGGAGGGTCGATGGGAAGTGAATCCGAGAAATATGGATCCAAAGGGGATTCTACAGATCGGGAAGAATGGATCGGACCGGAGAAAATTTGATGGAGCTAGGAAGGAGGTTCCTCCTCTGAGGGAGACGATGGAGCTGGAATCGAATTCGGGTGTGAGTTTGAAGCTCAACCCGATGTTTATTGCGTCGGCCTCTTCTATGGAAGATGAAGACACAGCTCTAATCAAGGATAGCGGTGAAGCAATGGAAGAAACATTTGACGTGAATGCTGCAGTGCCGGGACGGAAATGTCATATGGAGGTGAGCGTGGATGTTGTTGATTGGAGTAATAAGATGATGAATGATGCTTCTGTGGAGGAAGGAATGGAGGTGACGGAAATGGAGGTATCTGTAAAAGATGTTGCAGGTGTGATCGGAGAAGGGAGGTTCCTCCTCTGGTTTGAGCAAGCCAATTGGAAGCACGTCTGATGCTTTTGGGAATGCTGATGTTGGACAATCAAATGTAAACTGAGGGAGAACCTTGGGAAGGGGGTGACCCTGAGAGTTTCATTTGCGGTTAGTATGGGGAATCCGTGGAAGAAGCCGAATCATGTCCCGATCCTGCATCTGGAAGACTTCAATACTATTTCAGGAGACGGGATTTCCATTGATTTGAATTTGGACAGAGTCAGAGCTAATATGGAAATGCTTGATCGAGCAGTGGTGGGGAAGATTTTGGGTAGAAGAGCTTCATTCTTCTTGTTGAAATCTGAGATCCAAAGACAATGGGGAAGGTTTGGAGAGTTTCAGCTCACCTCTTTGGGTGAGGATTGTTTTATATGTATTTTTACTTCTGTGGAAGCTAGAAATGAGGTGCTAAGGGGCGTCCCCTGGTTTATTGGTGGTAATTTAGTGGGACTGGATAGGTGGACACCCAATTTCTCCCCTACTTCTATGGAGGGATTGTCGTCTCCGGTTTGGATACGACTACCTAATCTCCCATTACAATACTGGGATGAATGCAACATTGCTCGGATCGCCACGAAGATCGGTACTCCTTTATGGATTGATGCTTTGACAGCTAATTGGGGAATAAGGGAGTATGCACGGGTTTGTGTGCGGATGAACTTGGCGAATAAACTCCAGGCAGGAGTGTGGGTCAATGGATGGAATGGGAGGTTTTACCAGAAGGTGGAATACAAAGGCATTGGCATTATGTGCTTCGGCTGTGGTAAAATTGGCCATCGGAGAGATCATTGTCCTTTGAAGGATGGTGGTCAAGGGGATGCTGGTTCAAGGAAAGCAGAAGAGCAATTGAAACAGAGTGAGCCGATGGTGAAGAACTCTGAGCAGTCCTCAGGAAGGATCGAGTGAGTTGAGAAGGTGCAAACCAGGACAGTTACTCATCCTGTGATCAAAGTTGAAGGAGGTGGTCATAGCAAGGTGGGGAGACAGCAGAATTGTGGAAGGAGGGAAGGATGTTAAGCAGGGAGCTATTGCCGGAACTTCCACTGGGAAGGAATGTGATCAGGAGAATGATGAGGAGGTGGGACCGTGGATTCAGGTTCCCCCTCGACGAAGAAGGAGTACACGACCTACTGGGAGGAATTTTGTTGGTAACAACAATAGACAACTGCAAAGTAATCCCAAACAAGTTGATTTGAGGAACATTGAAGCTCCTCAGAGAACATTGAGACCTACTCATAAGTAGAGTAGAATGGGTTTTAAGAAACCTCTACCTTTCACGGCAG